ACAAAAAAGAATTATACATTTTTTCGTTATCCAACATTAGAAGAATCGAGTTAGTGTATTTTTTTCTTGTATGCATTGTACCCTTTTATAATAATAAAAAGCAAGAAATCCTTTAACATGAAAGAAGCGTAGCCCTATTTTCGTCATTTCCCACAAGTTTCTAGCAGATATGTGCCAGAAATTCTAATAACAAAAAGCGAAAACAACCGCGACTTAAGCACAAACGACGATTTTGAATTGAAAAATTTCGTTTTGTACGTAAACTGCGGACAACTTATATTTTTCAGTAATCGAGATTATTCGAAAACCGCACTTTTCATGGTAGAAAACATGCATTTTAGTTCAGATCGCAAACGACTGCGTTTCGCATAAAACTGCGACAGATCGCGGTTGAAGTACAGCACCAGGTTTTGAATAGAAGGACAATATTTCTTTTTACGATCGAAGTATCTCGCGTTTCTTCTTGAGCTTCGATTACTCGAAACTGCGAAAAAACCGCGATTACAAGGGGAGAAACCGCATGCTGCTCTTCATTTGGTACAAACGCGGTTAACCAATGCACGCAGTTGATCGCAGCTTAACAACAAAAGCGCGATTCTTCAAGAATCGCGCTTCATTTCATTAATAGTATTAATAAAATCGGGATTAAAAGTTCAAACAGCGAGCAACTACGTGCTTAGTTTAACCGCAGTTTCGTGACAAAACGCGTTTTTGGATGAGAGGACCGCGGTAGAGAATGAAGCAGAAATAAAGCAGCTATAAACGCAAAAGTTTTGGCGAACTGAATCAGTGCGCGATTCAATTTGTCCTCAGTGTGCAGATTTACATTAATGCATTTTTTTCTATTCTAATGTATAGGCAATATAGTTAAATGCTTCGTTGCTATCGGTACCGGGGGAAAACTGATCTCAGCTCTGATTATTGATTAACAGATCAAAGTTAAAGCGACCCGATGAGATCCTTTCTAGCGCCTCCGATTGTCTAAGTTTTTCTTAATGTGACATTGCGAAGAAAAGTTATTTAAAGCAGAAATGTAGTTTATTTGCATCTGTATTTATGATGTTTTAAAAAAACAAATAAATATTATGATGCATGCGATACGTCACACAAAATTACAATAAAGTTATATAATGAAGTTCGCAAAATTTTTGTCTATAAGATATTTATAAATATTGCTATATAAAAACTTGATCAGTCTTATTTAATACATCTGAAAAAAGTTCGAGATTCAAGCCTTTTCCCGCTCTCTTCTATAAAAAGAACGGGGTTCTTTTACCATAATCTTTTTATACGAATCTCTTCATTTGATTACATCAAATTTTAAAACAATAAACTGTGAACATGGACTCCTCACGTTGAAAATATTTTTATCGGATCAAACTTCTAAGGATTTTCTATATGTTTAACTCGTCACTCACATGTCTTTCCAAATATGCTGTGTCCAGCTAAAAATCGATCGTTATGCGAAAACACAAATGCTCTTCAAAGGCATTTAACTTGTCCGCACTATAATATTTTCACTCCGGCTCTCAAACTGGAAAGGATGTCCTTATTTGTCAACGTTGAATCAACAAGAGAGATACTATGTTATCCAATAAAGCATGATACAAATGAAGGGTTTGTCTGCAGTTACGAGACATGGCTTGCGATTATTTGTGCGTGTAAACGGATTCAAAAAAATGCAACAATGAAAGATTTCTCACTTGATTCTATTGCATTCAATTTTGGGAGTTGGCTATGGGCTTCATTATGTAGGACATGCGGTCTAGTGAAAGAAGGACATTTTGTCAGATTGAACTCATATTGCAAACCTTTCGTGCGTTTTAAACTAAACAATGTACACAACAAACGGGAGCAGCTAAAAACAAAGTACCCATGCTAGATGAATGTCTTCCAACAGCTGTCGCAAAAAATAAATATTTAAAAACCTGTCATGCGCATGCTCATTTGTATCTTGGTATAGAAACAATTCAACAGTTTACTATACTACAAAGACAAGCATATCCCCGTAATTTATATATAATGAATCTCGTTGGATGTTATCGTGAACCATTTAATCATCAATATGAAGATGCATTAGCATTACAAGGAAGTCGTCTACTTATTTCATACATTAATGATATAAAAATGAACATAGATAGCACTGATAAGGGAATAAATATTTTAAAATCAGGTCACATTAGTCATGAAACTCAGCAACACTCAATGAAGGTATTGAATGAAACTCATACATCTGACACTATCACAAGAAAAAAAAAAGAGGAAAAGAAAGAAAATGTCAAAGAAAAAAGGACAAGATGAGATTACAAAGACTGATCTTATTGTCGAATCAGTACAAGCTGCAAAGAATTATCCGTCCACAGTGTGATTTCAATACTCTAATTACTGTTCCAAATTCGTTGATTCTTTCGCCAAGATCAATGTCACTTAAGAATTTTTTAATATGCTTGACCACCCATTACAGCGCTTTTGAAAGTAGTACTCTAACTACACTTTGCAGAAAAATGACCAGTTTTCATATTTTCGGTTTCGGAGAAAATCCAGATCTCTCGATGATAAGTTTAATCTTAAGGGAGGTTTCTCCTACGAGGTTTTCTGGCCGATCTGTACGAAACACTTTGAAATATATATCCTAAAATTTGTTCGGTTCCCGAACTTGTACTTTTTAAGAAAAAACATTTTTAAATTTTACCCAGATTTTTGCCTCGTTTTTAAAATTTGAATAAAAACTTTATTTTTCAAAATAAATACTTAACCTTAGTGTCATTCAATAGAGGAAATCAAACTGTGTATACGGAAAAAGCTTCGTTGTTCCCAAATGAGTGTTCACGGGAAAATTTAACATTTACATTTAGTTATAGTGAGGGTTAATGATTTAAAAATATTACTTTTATTTCTAGATCATGTCGGTGTCTAAATTTGTAACGTTCAAAAAATATTTACAAAACTATATGTTTTTCCGAAAGGTTTTCTAGAAAAATTTTGATAAAAATCACGGTTTTTCAATCTTTTCACTCGTCTGGTCACGTTTAGCGCACAAAACTATGCAGATCCTGAATTTTTGAACTCGTTGCGATATTTTTTGAGTGAGCTGTGAATTTTTGAATATTAAGTGAAAATAGCCTGGAAACCAAAATTTTCGCCTTTAACCAGATTTTTGAACTCTTGAAAACAAACATTATCATTAGATTCAGTGTGGTCGATTACATATGTTCCATGCAATTTAAAGGTCGTCCTAAATTACTGGGTAGCAGTCCTGAGGCTGATAAACCTTACTTCTGTTTATAGCCAGTAATCTTGAGAGAATATATCGTTTTAATACAGCAGCATTCATAATAAGTTTTTTTAACCATTATTTAATTAAAATATTCGATGTTTCGGTTACTCATGCAACCATTTTCAAGAATATACACACATAAATACTGTACAAGAAAATTACAAAACGAAAGAAGAAAAACTACGTAGTATATATACTGTTTGCGCAGAATTGAACAGAATGGAAAAGAAATTTCTTTGTTACTCTTTCACTTTCTACTACACGAAAAGTACTTTCTTGACTGAACCGCTGATTCATATATGTACTATTCATCCTTTTCATCACCTCCTGATTCGATAAAATAGATTATAGCACAGGCAATGGTTAAAAAATGGAAATAGCAGATGTGCAATGACTTTCCTGTTGCAAAGCTGGGAATTAGAATTAAAAGAGCCATGATGAGCCAGCCACTTTTAATTTGTTTCTCTTTAGGTTGATTCAGGCTCAACCACAAGCCAACCATTATTGAAGCTTCAGCGTGCTTGAGAAGGAACAAAAAAAAGCAAAATTATACGAAATTACACTAGCAACTTTTTATTTTAACGAGCAGACAAAATGATGTCATGGGTTTTTCCTTTTGTACTGCTCTTATATTTATTTTAATATAATCCTTATTTTTTTTCTGCCTTCTTCACTGAATAAACATTGTAATAATATATTCGATTGCAGTCAATCTCAGACAGAAAAATAATAAGATTGAATTAATAAGATAATAAGATTGAACAAAATGGCTAACAACAGCCTTTTTTCAACAGGGTTTTGATTGTGAAAAATAGTCTATTAACAGACACCATTTATTGTCCTTCATGTGACCTTTAGTAATGGTCTAAAAGCAAGCAATTAATTGTTAGATTCAAATTTAGATAATCGTAAAGTGGCATTTTATTGCCTGTTTGATGTCCGTTACATAAACCAACAAAAAACGGACATTTAACGTTTACCGTTTAATTCACGCTTTTGTTTCACTGACCTCGCTACTATAGAAATCACGCTGTTTTCTCAGAGAAAACTTAGAGTTTTGTTCTCCTCGACTATATAACAGGGCTGCCGGTGGATTGAGTTGGACCGAATTTTTTGCTCCGTCCCGTGCATTTTTCATGCCCAACCCAACCCAGCCCATAAAACTTCAAGAAAAGTTTGCCTATGGGAACCGATGGAGGCCCATGGAAGAAAACTGTTTAGATTTACATTAGATTACGAAGCTTACACATCACATCGAACAAAAAATTCATAACATAGTTTAGATAGCCCCCTAGGGAACACCTAGCGAATGGATGTGTGAGCTTTGTCTTGGATTCAGAGTCATGGAAGGTCGTTCGCATATATCAGTTCCTAAAGTCAAGGGACTGAGCGAGTGTAGCCGAGCGTTACTTTTTACATTTAGATCAAAAATATGATATTGTTCTTTTGAAAAAGTCAATTAAAGTGCTTTTAGTGCTACTGATTTTAAGGATGGTATCAATCATATGCAGGGAACCAAAAATATTCAAAAATTTGAAAAGCTATTTATTTCATGGTAGTGGTCAAAACGAAATTAGTCACGCTCAGCAGTCGAATCCTTGACCTTAAATAGCCAATAATTATGTAATATTGGCCACAAAAACGGTTATTATTAAACGCTTATTTTCAGCTTGATTTTTGGTCATTAAAAAGATGCCAAGTTTTTCGGCATTAATACGTTCCTAGTTATAATGCCGGGAAATGGTTAAAAAATGGTATTAACTAGCTAAAAGGATACATTTTGTGGACTGTTGATAGACTATAAATTACACCGTTGTCAACTTCCTGGGCAATGGACTGAGTTAAGTATTTTGTCAAGGTATGTGTACACGGACTGAAAATGTGAAATATATCTTTCGTAGAAGAATTTTAAAAATGTAGTGATTTGTAGTGTACACAATGGAGAGTGAAAACATTATAGCCATTTCATTAAAAGTGTATGTTGCTTACTTTTAGTTTCTATCACGGGGATGTAGCTCATATGGTAGAGCGCTCGCTTAGCATGCGAGAGGCACCGAGATCGATACTCGGCATCTCCACTCTTTTTTTTATTGTATCATACTATACGCAGTACTTATTGATGTGAGATACATAGTACAATTAAAGAGAAAGAAGAGAATGTGTTTCTATATTAATCATTGACTATGTATTGATAGACTATTTAAAGAACAACAGTTTTTTTTTCTGAAAACTATCATTGCGCTTTAAGGGGGGGGGGGGGGGGCCCACACCCCGTTTTTTTCC